CATAGTAACAAGTATGGCACATTGTGATTGAATTATTATAGACTAGTGACCAGTGCCATCAAAATGGCGGCAAAACAATCATTTAATAGACAAAGGTATCTGAGTGCCTCACATGAAAGGCTTGAACAAATAAGACTGCAATCTAAGAAATGTAGAAGTAAAGGAACTGATTAATTAAATAGTTCATTTTGCTCAGGAACTTATTTTGTCTAAATTCAGATAAAGATTTTTTTTGTATAGATTATTAAAAGGAATAAGGGAAGTAATCACTCATTAGTGTATTAACTTAAATTGATTTAACTACCTTCCTCCTACATATGGGATGAAGACGAAGGTGAAGCAAGACGTTCAATTAATAAACAAAGGTATTTTCTAAAACGAAAATAAATCAGTAGAGTAATATCTTAGCAATGTTTTTCAGAAGTTTTTCACGTCTTGGAAATTTACCTGAACTGAAATCAATAATGCCGAACGACGAAGGAGCGAATTTCTTCGAAAGTACTTGTAACAGAACCTCTAATCCATCTCATAATTTTAAAACATAAAGATCGCGTTATTCGGAGAGTTGTTAGTAAGTTAATATTTTATTAATCTGTTAGCGAAGTGATTTCGCCATTAATTTCATTAACTTTACTGATTAATTCTTTGGTTGATTACTTCTTTATAGTCTTTCGTGTTCCTTTGATAAAAAGCAAGAGAGCTCCTTCCCTAGAACTGTTACTTATGAAAATACCTATACTTGTCCTTATAATATTCTCTTACTTCCCTCTTCCTTCTCCCCTACTTCTACCTTGGGTGGCCCTTAGGCCTTGTATTTGATGAACTATCAGTGAAAAAAGGAGAAGCACACAAAATATATCAAAAGGAATACAAAATTCTCATGATTCTAAATCTAGTTCCGAACATACTCTCCTCGCTTCTCAGCTTCAACGAAGGTATATATATATATATATATATATATATATATATATATATATATATATATATATATATATATATATGTCCACCTCATAAGAAGCTTCTTGCCTATTTTAATGAAGCTATGTACGAGGTTGCCTTTTCACCTCGTTATCATTAGAGAACCCTACCCCGTTTCTGGGACCAAAAGATGAAAAGATTGGGGGTACTAGGTCAGGGTTTAGGGCGTGATGCCTTAACCTTCTTACAGTGCTTACATCAAGTGCAGTCTTTCCATAAACAATCACTAACAATGCTTCCCCCAAAAGACAAGTTCCATGCGAGTTCTTAGCATTTGATGTACTTCGAAAGTGAAGGCAAATGAAATGGTAACGATAGTTTTGGGTCTACATATCTGTTTCCTCCGTGCTTCTCGATACCTTTTGGTTTATATATATATATATATATATATATATATATATATATATATGGAGTGGTGTGTGTGTGTGTGTGTGTGTGTGTGTGTGTTGATTATTATATATTTATACATTACTCCATATACTCAATCAGCCATAATTAATACATATGAAAAAAAAAACTTACGAGTCAGACATTTAATTAATGAATCAAATGACAATATATTCTGTTTAATTTTACATTATATTTATTATTTTTATGATTTTATATATATATATATATATATATATATATATATATATATATATATGTTTGTATATATAAATAAATATTATAGATAATTATAGATATTTTATTTTTACAAAATAGTGCCTAGTGTAAATTTACAGAGCATTAATATTATAAATTAATTGATTTAAAATATGGTTTTTGAAACATGGTTAGAACTGTGTAGCGAAAAACATATTTTAAATCAATTAATTCATATATATATATATATATATATATATATATATATATATATATTTAGTTGGATTAATGTGAGTTTGTGACCCTGTGTTTAAGGCTATTTGTGATCTGCAGACAACGATCGCAAATAGTTTGAAACCCAGGTCACAAACTCACATCAATCCAATTAAATATGTTAGGTCTATCATTGATATTAAGCACTTTCAATAAGTAACGCATACACAATATATAAATAATATATATAAAAATTTATATATATATATATATATATATATATATATATATATATATATATATATATATAATATATATTCATATTATATATATATATATATATATATATATATATATATATATATATATATATATTTTTATTTATATATATATATATATATATATAAATATATATATATATATATATATATATATATATATATATATATATATATATATATATGACATTTTATGTTTATACATTCATTTTTTTTTAGATATAAATATTTAAGTAAATGCTCTGTTTATAATAAAATAAAAAAACATAAAAAAGAATGCATAAACATAAAATGTCTTAAATAAATGTTTGACTTTATCCATCTCATAATATATATATATATATATATTTATATATATATATATATATATATATATATATATATATATATATATATATATATATATATATTTATACATTTATATTTATTTATATATATACGCATTC